TTCGGTCCTCAATAAATCTAGCTAGTAAGTGCTACTAAGAAGAATAGTCAATTTATACGATTCAGAATTCATTTTAGCAAGACTTTGTTTTTTAGATTCACCTACTCTTGGAGTAAGAAGTTCAAGGCAAATGACAATGTAATATTCATGAGATGTCGCTATATTTGGCACCTCTTTAATTTATTTTCACTAGCCACGGACAAGCAAACCTGATTCACTTAGTTATCATGATTACGCGAACCAGTTTTCGGAGCAGTCATTGGCCAGGGCACACCATTCCTGTCTAACTGGAGTTAACAGAACGTCAACAGAGATAACTTGTCTTGGTTAACTGCATGCATTGATAATCCCGAATAACTTTTTGTTTAGATAACCAAACCTCACTAATTTAGCTACTAACAACATGGACTAGCTTGTTATTACGACTGTTCTTCGTTGCCTATTTGGAGAAAATTCTCGTATACATGTCCGGCGTCATATTGTGCTATAATAAAGAATATGATCATCAAATTCGCAGCATAAGATTACGCAGTAAGGCAAAAATATTTCGTTTCGGTAAAAAAAATTGAGCGAGAAACAAATCGTTCAGATTAAAATCTGAAGTCCAATATATCGAAGTGTCAACATTGAAAGAATCCTCAAAAAGTTCAATAACTTCATTCACAAACGTGTAGATTTGTTTTTACAATAGTTGTATATTTACTTTTTGCTTATTTTTGTTGAAGACGGATGATTTTGTACTTTCTTTGAGGTGCAGAGATTGTTCGTTTAAGTTCATCACCGAACAATCATCTGAGGCGTAATGTTTGGGAGGTGTTTTAAACACACACTTTTCTCTGGTGAACTTCTTGCTTGATAGCCGTATTTTAGTAGCGTTATGACTATTTTGTTCTTCAGTGTTGCTTTTTGATTCACTTATCAGGTTAATTCCATTTCACATGCTTTTGGAGTCATCAGTTTTAATTTTAGCATGTGCTTTTCTGTTTTATTAAACAGAAGATGATTATAATTATATATTCACCATCACACTCTACTTTTCATACTCTTCAAAAACACAATGTATCTTTCGTGTAGATGCTTAGGTTTTATCGACTGATAACTTTATCAAACGCTAGTCACTCTAGGTAGTGATGAAAGTCTCAGTAATTAATTACTATCATATGATAGTGATTGTAATTACTATCAGTGTATGTAATAAATGGAACGTTTTGTTATCGAACAGGAATAGTGGTGTAATACCATCTACAAAAGATCTAGAAAATAAATTCTAGAGATTCCTTATGTTTATACAAAGTGTGTAAATCTGCGCTGGTTTGACGACAGTTTGTTCCTCACCAGTGAATTGGAGAAGCCTTAATGAGTTATATCTCGTGTGAGAGTAAGGCATATGATAAATTTAGACGACAATCAACTTGCTTACAAATGGTGTTCCCTAAGTTTGTGTAGCCATTTATTTACAAAATTTTATCTAAATTTTTGCAAGGATCGTAACACGTGCAGTTTTATGAAATTCGCTTGACAAACACCGGATGCACTTTTATTGCTGATGAAAAGGGAAGAGCTACACCAACTAATTGGTATTGACATAATTGGGTCACTGTCTACAACAGACAGGGGAACCTTTATATCCTGGTGATGACTGATTATATCAACAAGTGGTGCAAATCTGTTCCTATCACACAACAAAATACCCCATGTATTACATAAGCCTACGTCAACCACTGAGCTTCTCTCTACATAACTCTTTCTTATGATCTCTAATAGCAAACTAACATGCAAATTTAAAATAACATGAATATAAATGAAAAATCTTGTTTTCATCTGGGTTCCGAACCCGTTATATTTTCACCTCCTGGCTTATCGGCCCGCTCTATAACGACTATAGCAATCTGCTTTGAACCAGTGTCCGCCAGCTCACATGAAACGTCTGCTGGACGATGGGTTCGTCAGCTCTCCTTTCCTTTATTGCTTTGACGGATATTTATTTACTGCATTACATTAAGAGACATCGTACTCGTAAAATTCTTTCATTTGTCATACGGACTATAGAGTTGATGCGTTACTAGTGAGGAACTTTAACCTATCAAATTTCAGTTTTGATCATCAGACTTTGTTAGTCTGTTGTTTGAATTACTTCTATTCATTGCAATGAAATATAATTTCATTATATTTTCCGACTGTTTCGTTGGTTTACTTCTCTCATTTCCTTCCTTTTTAAATTTCCCCACAAGCCCTTTCTCCATATAAAATATCACCAGACTAGACGCAACTCGCTACTGATTTGCATTTCACCAGGAAAGGTACTTCTGAGATAATTACAATTATCTGGCCGAGTTAGACACTACTAATTACTAAGTAAAAGTTTTATTTTGTGTAAGTTCATTTTTTATGAAAATTGGTTGTGCTTCATGAAAATCATAACATGTTTTAAGTCGCTCATCGGAGGTTTTAAAAGTGCAATTAACAACGTGTACACACGGATTCTTCTCGATATATCAAACCTATATTATAGACTTTATGAGAAGCCTGTGTTATATTGTCACGAAAAATAACTTAGCTTCACCACATCATCTTTAAAGGCATAGTAAACTGTACTCGAGGTTAAAATAAATAACTTCACTGCTAACAGATTCGTTAACCTTTTCTTATAGCTTAGCTTAAGATATATTCACTTGTATCTTACTTTTGTTTGTACTCATTTAATATTCCCTTGTCAGCTAAAAATTTAGAGTGCAATGTACGGTAATCCTGAGTTCTTACATGGACAATTTGGAGACAAATAAATGACCACATCACTTCTCTTTGAAAGAAGTGCCTCTACATGAATATCGGTTATGTTCTTCCTACTAAACGTCTGAAGTAAATGAATTCTGATGACCATTGTATGCTAACAGTTACTGATAAATAACCTGTTAGTGGTATAAATAAACAAACTAGGAATTTCATATAGCATTTACACTTACATATTGTTAACTAAAAGAAAGCATACTTATATACATTGACCGTGTTTCGATTTATTTTTGTTTGTTTTTCAATGGAAAACTGTTTCATGTCATATCACTAACTCTAGCTTAAAATAATTTTTCATGTTTACTCTAGCCACATACTTTTTTATAATATTTTAGATAGTTAAGATAAAGTATGAGTTAATGATTTGTGTATAGGAAGGCTGTGGTAACACTATAAATTTGTCCAAAACCTTCTAAAAATATATCAAAGTCTTTCAATGGATATTCTTTTTATGTTTTTGGATTAGATTATGTTGCTTACTTCATAAACTTTGGTATATTTATTTAAATCAGTTTATACTGTCTCTTATGAACTATAGTACTAAATAATGTGGACTGTTCAGATAGGTGATCCTTTTCGTCAAAACATTATCCGTGATATTTGATTTCAGACAGTAACGTTTTAAGTTGTTTTCGTAAACGTTTCTGCGCTGTTGACGTTAAAACACTAATAAGTGAGAACTTAGTGTCAGAAGGCCTAATATAGAAACACTTCAAACTCAATTTCGCATTAGGCTAAATGGGAAATACCGCACAAAACACAGTGCTTAAAATACATGTTAAGGAGATTTTGTCTAAACCTCTCGAGATAACTTTTGTTGGTTTTTGTGACGAAATTTTTAGAAGTTCAGAAGAGAAAAGTGAACGGGTGAGGTTGAGTAATTAAATTTTGGTTACATTTCGTTAAAAAAACTAGAAATGAAAATAAGCATATTATAAAACACCTTTGACTTCGAGCAGAGAGTTGTTTACAGGGATCAATAGCATGACACCTACCAGATACTGAAAACGATGTGAATTTGATTAGTTCATCCAAGGCTATCAATAAATAGTTCGGTTCCACGTCGTTTAAATGCACAAAAGCCATAGCAGATATATGGCTTAAACCTAGTCTTTGTATTTAAGAATCAGTAGTTAACCCTCAACTGCCTTGGTAACAATTTGGCTAGTTTTCTCAACTAATTACAGTCGTAATTTAGTGAGTTTACCTTATCCATCTACTGTTCTGTTCTAAAATTACGAAAATTATCTCAATAGATTTTACCTTACCATTCTTGTGTGATGAATATCATCTGAAACTAAGCTAATTTATCAGATATTTTGCTTTTTTTCTCTTAGTTTAATAGATTATCATTTTGTTCATCTGCCGACCAATGTATGATAAATTTATGTGACTCATTTTGTGAAAGTTCCGAGTATATATAATGTGTTACAAATTCACTAATGTTAAATAGTGTTTGCACTTATTTCACTTTCAGTCTTTTCTTGTACTCAGTTCCTTTGCTGAACTCAGACCTACTGACAAAGATTTTAATATACCAAGAAGTCCGTAGTTGAAGATATATTGATAATCATAAGGAATAATGACCCTTGGGATAAGTAAATAAAAACTAACGTTTAAGACTAAAAAAGTTGGATCTGGTGTTTGATTAAAAATTTCTTGATTGACAATTTTCTTTCCAAAATGGAATGTTACTTTTAGACATCAAACTTCAGTTCTGGAGAAAATCTTGTTTTTCATTACGCTTTAGTGTTTTAACATGAAGTAAGATGGTGAAATATTGCAGATTATTCTCAAGTTTTTCAGTTTACTAATAATCGGGTTAGTAATTCTTTCGTTCAACTATCGTGGGGGTATTATCACTATATTTATCAGATTTACTTATCTAGAAACTGTTCTGCCCTAACCAATAATGTTCGTTATTATTTAGAAATAATTGGCCGTTGTGAAAAGATCGTCTGTTTTGATTTTAATTTCCTTAAATTTTGACTGGAAACTACCAACCGCATCGAATAATTTTATCATTCATCTGTTAGTACTTATTGTTTTATAAGTAATATATTTTAGTGACTCAAAGTTTTGGTGCTGTTTCGCTGAATGACAGCGATTTTGTCACATAATTGTTCTTGTACAAAGTCAATTTGTTGAAATCAACGCTTCGCAACACTTAAGTTCATTCGTCTTTTTTTATTTTCCATACCCTTAGATACATGTTACCCGTTCCCCCATCTCATGAAAAAGGCACACCAAGCTGGTCATCACTTAAACGCAAATCATGGCTTCATCCAAAGTTTTTAAACTATGCACGAGAAAATGTTTATGATAGTCATTTGCTGAAGTAGGATTTTTTTTAAATAAATGCGTGATATTTTAATTACATTATCATTTAATGACCTAGTCAACTTAATCCTTTTCACTATATTTCACATAGATCCATGTCTACTGGTCTATGTTTGAAAACAGCTCTCGACTTAGATTTCAATTAATTTTCCTTAATGATGTTCTTCTATTGTTAAGGTAGTCATAGTATTGCACAATTTTTGTTAATAGTTGTAACGTCCTACCAGGAATGGTATTTGTGAGCGCTTTTTTTCTAATTTAATTCTTCAAACTACCTTTGCCACTTTTCTGATATCTCGATACTGCTTACAACTTGATAATTTTCTGTAACCTTGAACGTCATTGCTTAGTTAGCGTTAACGCCTGGTTGTATCTTTTGGAGTTCTTGTGTTTCAAGATTAGTATTTCCTACGCTTTATCCTCTGTATATGACCAACTGAAAAGGCTAAAAGACTAGTCAGATGCATTTTATTACTGAATTCTGATGTTATTTTATTTGCTTATTGAAGTTTAATTTCATTACTTGATTTTCGTTGCGATTGTTTAAACACTTTTCCTGTGTGAATAAGCATGAAACCGAGTGAAATTTATAATACTAGGTGTAGATGGGAATATTAAAATACTGATTGTTATTTAAGAATTTACAAGACATTTCATAATGTCAACCATTTGTTAATTAAAGTTACATATACAGGGCTTTGACTCATAGTGTTTGTATATCAGCTAGTAAAGTTATCCGATTGTCAGGGCCAAAATAGACGATGTGTGCTCCTAACTTGCAACCTAGTGTTTAAAAACTGAATGTTATATGATATTCAATTACTTTATTGTGTTTTAAATAAATGACCTGATAGTTTGTAGCGAACCAAACACAAAGTTGGTTGTTTATTACGCAGGTTATAACGTTTTTTCATTTTCTCAATGAAAGGAGGAACAGATTTATGAGGCTTCAAAACCTCGTTAAAGCCGTATCCAAAGTCGCATAATGTCAAAAACATTCTCTATACCTAGTGAAAAAAATAAAAATTCGTCATAAGTAATGACTGTTGTTAAACTTCAGTATTGGCTGCCCACTTATGCCATTTGACGTGGCTCACTTCTAAAGTTTTACGTCTGTGACTACTATACATTCCCTACACCTGACATAGCATCAGTAGTATATATAATGTTCAGTGAATAGATGCATATTTCTCATTATTTTGATTGAGTTCTTATATATATAGTCTTGGAAATATTGAGGCATAATACTTTATTTATTCAATATTCAGTTAATATCCATCCATTTGAATTCATGTAAATACTTATGTTGTAAATATTTTCACTTTTTTTCTTTTAGAACTAAGAAAGTAGCTGAACATGAACCTATGTTATTGCCCAATTGTCTTCCTTATTCATGTGTTCCACCAGTTAGAATACTTAAAATGGTAAGATTTTTTGACTCACTTCATCATTAGATGATTACATCGATTGATTTTATTAGAGTAGAATAATATGCTTATTATATAGATTGACGATAGAGCGCTTAAATTATTATGAAATGTAGATGAATGTGAAACGTTTGTCAGATTTTTACTGAAAAACTACAGAGAGTCTAATTCAACCACTTCAGATGTAAAACTGTTATCACCAATTCCAACTCGTAAATATGGTTCATGTGACTAAGTTTAAGCTTCTTTCTGCTATACTAATCATTATACTGTTAATCTTTTTACAGGAAACCCAAAATACTACTGAATATCAATTTCCCCTTATCTTGTATAATAATGAAATGTTAAAAGAAAATTTCATATCACCTGTAAACAAACTTTTATATTTGCCTAAAAATATTAAAATAATAAAGAAATTTACATCAATGAATAATATTCAATTATTAAAACTCCCGGCAAATTGTTCAGTATTACCATGGGAATATAATGGTAATAGTAATAACAGTAATATAAATAAACTACTATCTTTAGATGAAATTAAATCCCTGAATAAATTCAATTCAAAAACAATGAAAAAATTTAAACAACAAAATGCTGTAAAATTAAATTTATTAAAAAGTCATTTCTTAGCAAATGAATATGATTTACAAAATAAGTCCAATATATATCAATTATTAAAATTACATCAAAATAATTTTACTACTAATTTTCAATTAAGTAGTAATGTTAAACTATTACAATTACCACATTTATATCATTCAATTGAAAGACAATATCCTGATCATAAAACTGATAATAAAATTTCTAGCAATGACAATATAACTTCAAGAGAAGCATACCATTCAAATTTAAAAAAAACTAAAGACTGTAAATCAACATCAAATGAATATACATTACAAATATTAACATATCCAATGAATAATGAAGAACAGCCTACGTTAAATGATATTTTATGGGTATTGGAAACAACTAAAGAAAATATTAAACCTATTTCTGTGGAAAATTTTAACGTACCACAATGTAAATTTGATTCTCCTATTCAAAATGATAAAAAATCTTATAATGATTGTGGAGTTCAATTTAATTTTGTTGATTATGGTGAACCTAATACTCAAAGTAAGTTGAATCTAGATGCAGTTAATTAGTTTGTTGTTATATTTTTAGAGTATCATTGGATAAATAAATATAAGTGTTGATGAAGCAGTCAATGAGAGACTGTCGAATTATTGAATTCCTGAACCGATTTAAGGTACATCATCATTGAAAATCTGGATTCATTGGATCGTCATTTCTTTCTAAGACAGGACTCTTCAACAGTACTCATCTACAGTCATGCACGCTGAAGGACCAGGACCTTCGGTTTGGCTCACGAACGCATAAATTTTAGAATACTTGTTCAGTATCCGATTGCGTTATTGCCTAACTTTGATCAATCCACGAAATTTTAGGTAGGCAACTGCTTCACACCCGATACATTCTCACTTACTTTTTTAAATGGTAATGAAATGAATATGGACAAACATTTTGGATTGTATAAAAGAGGTGATACCGAAAACCTCAAGCCGTAAAATAAATGATAAATTGCTAAATATATCCAATATACGAAGAAAACACGATCACTAATAAGTGGTTCTCTTAGAACTACTGTCGTATATTCTCTGCTGTAGTTAATACATTGCCTTACATCATCAAACTTCAGACATTATAAACGTCAGCTATGTTAGTTAGAGTGAATTACATTGAGCATAAAATTTACTCTGCAACCCAACAGTATTCGGCACTTCAGCGAATGATGACACAATGACATTTGAAGCAAGTGGTACTGGGTTCAAGTGTCAATCTAGACATCAACATAAAAGTACAGTTACTCCCGATTTACGAATTTGAAATAGAAATAAATGCACTTTCTGAATTCCAGTAGCAGCTGCTATCTGAGTTATAATTTATCTAAGGTGTTTTGGTCTCAAACTAATACTACAGTTTAGTTAACTAGTCAAACGACACTTTTTATTTAAATCTTCATGCTTATCGTAATAAGAAAGCGGAAAGTTCACTATTTTATCAGTTAAAATATTACCAAAAGCAATAAATGTAGTTCTTTCACAAACATTTTGATTGGATTAAATTCATTTTGACTGAAAATTGAGTTATTCTTGGATCTAGGTCTTTTACTAAACTGTTAGACTATATTAGTCTCTTAATTTTTCCAATGATGCCACACTTCTCATGGGTAATATTTGCAGTAATATATATATATATATATATATATATATATATTCAATCTTCTGAATTTCAGTTATTTAAAATGGATTTATTATAAGAGGAATTTGTTTTTACCTACGAATTTTCATTTTGCAGTTGGTTGCAATACATTTACTAACTGTAAGAATGCAGCATGGCCTTCAGATTGTGTTGAACAACTGTTGTCCAATGATATTGCAGTAAGTTTTTGTGTTATCAGTTAATTATGTTCTTTCTTCGTTACGTTATACTGTTGTTTGTACTAACTAATAAGTATGATAGTAATGTATAACGTACACAAACCCATGACTTTCATGAGAACTATCAATATATTCTTATATTTTATAATTTACCAATGTGCTATGAATTAGGGATGTGGCAGTGGACATTTTGAATGTAGTTCTTAACTTCGAAATCTACTAAAAACTGCGATACTGTTTTCGCTGAATATATATATAGCCCATTACGACGAGAAAAAGAAACAACAGAAGATAACCACTTAATTTAACTGTGATTCCTGTTCGGTATTACTACCGTTTCAAATTCGTTCTAGTGACTTCTGAGTACAAAATTGATCTATTTCAAAATGATATTTATTCAGTACAATATTCTTTCCGTTCAGTATGATGTGTAGCCAGCATTTTGCAGTAATTTTGTATTACATCTGTTTTGTATTTCCTGTATTTGGGTTATGTGTGCTACTAGCTGACTAATCATCAATTGTAAGATTGATATACAAATGAGTGTATCTGGTTATCATGGTTGTTGTTTTTTTTGTCTGGTGAATAGAATTTACTGCCGGTGTCAGTTTTTATCTTCTCCTTTGATAAGCATTAGAGAACTAAATCTGTCGTCGTTTATGGCATACAACCAAAAAAAACTACGACTAATTTACTGATTACACAATCAATAATCGATCAAAGATGAAAATTAAGGTCATAAAGTTCCTAATAATTCCTTGTCTCTGCTCACCATAAAATGGTTTATTTCCGTATTTAGTCTCCTTATAAAGCCAGTGAAAAGTGCGTAGAAATGTATTACTTTGCAATTTTACAGTTATCTTACAATACATTATGCTATGTAAATTAATATTTCTGGGAAACTGAAAAGAAAATTAGAAACAGTGAAGGAATTTTAACTGTTATACTAAGAAATGACTTATATTTTAAAACTGTCAAGTCTGTTTTCCAATCACTTAAATTAACACCCAAGCACAGTACTATTCTTCGATCAACAATCTAGTTGATCTTGCCCCCCAACTGCCCTGGTACGGCCGAGGATGGGGAGAGTTCGCCCTCCCTATCGAAATGCTCTCACGTGACCACAAGTATACAGCTAATGTCAGTCAAGTCCTACTCACTATCTTCTCGCAGCACAGGTGTTGTTTACGAAATTGAGAGGACGAGAAGCGAATGTCAGGCGCTTTAATCGGGTTGGTGGACACGGAGGGTGACTTGTTTGGCGCATATGTATTTGGTACCCGTTTGTATCAGTGTTTATGTGTTCAAATAATAACAATAATAATAGTTGATCTGGATACGTATATGTTAAAAGGACCTCATTATGAAGAACAAAACAATGTGAATTTGGATATTTTCTTCATCTTCATTTTCGCGATTTCCTTTTCTCAATTAAAAACAGTGTTTATGATGAAAAGCAATCCAAAGTATTTGTTTTCATACATCAATAATTTATCCTAATATTTGTTATGTTCAATATTTCTTGAATTATTTCTTACTCTTATTAACTTAATCATATTACTTTTATTCTCAATTAGCATGTTACTAAACAATTTCTAAGTATACATGCATCTGACCTGATAGATTGGAATAATGAAGATAAGTATATTGTACCATGTGTTCCACTACACATTAGTACATCCAATATTTATGAACAAAATCATTGTAATCTTATCACATATGTGAATGCACCAGATAACAAACAACCAATAGAAATGAATAATACAATTAGTCCATCAAATATTGTACATAATCAAACATCGTTAATAGCAAGATCACAAATAAAAACTGTAACAACAACGACAACAACAACAACGACGACAACAACAACGATAACGAACAATTCATCTGAGAATAAACCAGAATTATTAATCAGTGATTTAGTTACTGCAAAAATGTTGCAAAATTCCAATATAACAAATCAAGATAATAAACAATCAATAAATAATGAAATCACATCATTATTATCATGTAATAAACAAGCATCAAGTTATTTTCCTTTAGATGTAGTAAAAGCATTAAGTGAAATTGATAATCGTTTAAATGTGATTGATCAAGTTTCAGTTCAACTAGAACAAGATCATAAACGTAATCAAGAAGTAAGTATTTAATTTATTTGTAATGGGTTTAAAAATGTGTATTGTAGTTTGTATTAGTATTTTTGAGTTTTGTCACAGTCGACTGAGTGTCTATTGATTAATGTCTTTCACATGCCCTCTTCTATGAATTTATAAATGGATGTTATCTGAGGTAGTAAATGTCTACTGTTACTAATCTTGGTCATCTGTCATATATACGAACGATAGTTCCAACAGTTTTCGCCTCATATATCTCAGTAACCGGTTTTCTCCACTCGCATCTTTTTGTCTATTTTAAAAGGAAATAATTAGATTTTGACAATTGAACAGTCTGACCACAGTTTTATGGTGCGAAAATCTTAGACTATTGGCAAACTTAAAATATATTAATTCTTCAGAAACGATAGTTAAATTTAGGAGGTTGGAACAAAGCGACTCAATGTATCAACTACTTACTACAGGGTCACACTAACGTTTTTGCGTTGATAGCTCTTGAAATTTATTTCAATTACCTAAATGTATATAACAAAATAAAATGGCGTAATTTCCACTACTGTAATCATACTTGTTATTTTTAACTGTTTCTTTCCATTGTAACATTCTGACGTACCAACTGATCTTCGGTAAACATGGCACAAAATTATGTCAGTTGAAGTTACCGCCTGTGATCGGTGTTTTATTACCTTAGCATGTTATCTATTAAAAATCATGTTAACATGAAGCGTACTCCCGATCGTTTCCAGGGTGGTTTGCCGTTTTTAATCAGTTCTTACTCAACCTTTCTTCACTTTTGTTGAAAATTTTAAGATTTTTCGAATGTTAATTAATTACTAATGATTTGTAATTTATGATTCTATTGTGCCACTGATGAAAATCGAAATAGTGGTAAATTTACTAAAACGCCTTAAAAATATCTAGGCTAATAAATAATTTTCTAAACTAATTATTGCACGTGAAGTGTTGATCAACGTGCTTAGTAGAGGTCAAAATAAGTTAATTACATCATGGGATCTGCCGAATGTAATAGACATATGATATTCAGTCTACGATTCATCGTTCAACATCATTTAAAAAAAATCCCAGTTAAATATACTAAGGAGCATATTCCTTAATCTATTTTACATTTCAGAAGCTTTGGATATCTATAATTTGAAATTTGAGTTAGCTGTTTTAACAGGAATAATTTGTTAGACCCCTCTCCTAGTTTTATCTTATTTCACTTATTGAAATCATAAGTCAATTGAAGCTAGACCACCATGGAAAACCTGGAAGCACTGGACGGCCGTTTCGTCCTAGTATGGGTCTCCTCAGCAGTGCGCATCCACGATCCCGCACCCCGCGAGATTGTTCGTTTTTCCCCTATTCTATTTCTAATTTACTTTCGTTGCTATTTTTATTACTGAGAAAGATTTCTTGATTACCATGTATTTATTTTCATTTCAACTTTATGATATTTACATTTAAACTTTTCATCCCATTGATTATGTTTTTCATATTTAGTTAATTTCCTCCTTTAATAACTATTTGTTTGTTTAAAGTGATGTAATTGGATTTCACATAAAAAACTAATCAAATTCTCAGTACAGGAGTTGTAGAGATTATTGAGTTTTTGATTGAGATCATGAACCGATTGATGTTAGACCGATATCAAAGGCCCTGGGTTCAAATCCCGCCAGCGGGATCGTGGATGCGCACTACTGAGGAATCCTACAATAGGATAAAACAGCCGTCCAGTGCATCCAGGTTTTTTATAGTGGTCTAACATCAATCGGTTCATGATCATAATCAAATTCTAACAGACTTATAATGAAGATAAGTATATTGTACCATGTGTTCCACTACACATTAGTACATCCAATATTTATGAACAAAATCATTGTAATCTTATTACAAATGTGAATTCACCAGATAACAAACAACCAATAGAAATGAATGATACAATTATTCATTGACCTATAATTTATCATAAATATATATGTACCGTCTTGCAGCTTTGAAATTGAACTCGAATAGGATTCCTTCGCTGAATAAAATATTTTATAATTTAATGAGTATATTCAAATCAATTGTTTATTGACTGTTAAATATCAGAAGTAATACTTGTAAGACTAATTTGTTTTGTTTTTTTGACTTCCTGTTTTTATAAAATATCATGACCAAAAACTGAAATATCCACAATATGATCTCCATTAATTGTTACACTCTACTTTGATTTGCTATCAATCTAAACATTGCTGACCTCCAAATGGCTGTTTCATCAATCACTGCTGATTAAGAACAGGATAATAACTAATTTTCCAAGATCTATTTTGTTATTGTCTCAAGATATTTAAATGCTTATTTCACTTGACCAACAATTACTGATTCTGAAGTACAAAAATGTCTAGTGTAGGAGTTTTGAAAAAGGTTAAAGGCTACAATGCAAAAATATTTGACCAACTGATCAACTCATTAACTAATAAGATGAGATGTGTACAAACTGCCTGATTAAATTCCTTGCATTAATCACCGTCAGTTGTTAGAGACCTTAGCTTATATGTCTCAAAATGAGTCATTGTGTCGATTTTGCGTAGTTTTCTAGTTATTGACAGCCTGTAATGAAGTATTCATTCAATTTCTACAGTTTCTCCACAAAAATACTTATCATTAAATTATCATAACTGAATATTGAAATAAAAACCAATTTTTTATTTTTCCATTACAGCTTCTTGAAACAATTATTCAAATGAATAAAGAACAAAGCCAAGTTAATCCATCTATTCAGTTAGATGAATCAAACAAAAGTGAGGCAACTTCTCAACAACAAAAACTACAATTACCTGATGAATTAAATTTGAAAGGCGACCAGTTACATAATCAGTAAGTTTTTGTCGTATTTTGAATTCTTACCGATTCAGTTGATTTAACTACTTAGTAAAGATTTATTCTTGATAAATGAATAGGTTTGAACATTTATACTGAAGCTATAAATCAATATTGAAAATGTTATTATTTATGCTCTACTCTATATTTGAACTGGATAGACATCAGATGTTTAATCCTATCTTGTAATCTAATCATAAATAACACCGAATCTATCTGAAGTTAGACCAGGTAAACTTAATTCAGATGATTAACATTTTTCAGTTTAAATAATCTACAGTATTATGTTGTGCTTATTTAAAAACTATTAGCATGTATTTTTGATTCAAAATATGTTTATTTATTGAGATCGTGAACCGATCACTATTGAAAAATGGTCACACCATATCGTGTATTGATTGAAGTTGGTCATTACCACCGTTGGATGCCGGCTCGGTGGTTCAGAGATTAGGCGTCTGTGTGTGAGGCCGGAGGTCCTGGGTTAGAGTTCCGCGTACAGAATCGTGTTTGAGCATTGCTGAAGGGTCGCACACCAGGATGAGACCTCCATCCAGTGCTTCCGAGTTTTCAATGATGGTCTAACATTAATCCCAATAAAAGCTCAACAATCTCTACAACCGTATGTTAATACTTAGTTTATTTCTCAAATTATAGTTGCTTGATTGTGTAAATCAAATTTAGATCTTGATATAGAGGTTTTTAACTTTTATTTTGTATTTATTTTTCTATTTAAATATAATTTACATTTTTTAGAAGACTAATTGAAAGTAAAATTAATCCTAATGTCCAAAATCAAGGACATGATTGTACAATTGTAAAACAACAAATTAAATCGTCTAAACCAAATGAAAGATCACATTCAAACACTGGTCATAATACTGATGAACGTGAAAAACTTAGAAAAGAAAGACGAGAAGTCTCAATGACACGTCGTTGTAATGAAGCTAAACAGTTTGTCAATGAAGTGAGTTTAAAATGTTCGTTAATGAATATCACTATCTGTTTAAATAATATTGTATTCCTAAGTATTGTGTGACACTGACGTTATTCTGAATATTTGTAAAGCATGTATTTTGGAATTGATTTGCTGTTACTAGCAATGAAACTCAGGACGTGTGTTTATTCCTCTTTAAGACTCATCAACTTGATACTCCTGAACTCCAGTGTTGGTGATCACATTAAGATTCAGACATCGTACCTCAAACACTAGCTTGTTATTCATCGAACCACTGATGTTTAGATTATCAACTGCAAAGGTTTAAATCATTCTGTTTCTGATATACAGGAATGAATCTTGGTGACACATTCGCGTCCTGACGGCTGTTCTAAGGCAAACGAAAGATGAAATTGTTCAAAATCAGATTTCAGAGATAAAAACTAAACTGAGAATTTCAGTGCGTAAAACTAAGCAAAGGTACTGTATTTGACTTCTATACAAGCTTTCCTATCACAAACTTTATGCCTATAGTTGCTCCATTTCAGAAAGAGCGATATTTTTTATGAGTGAACTCAATCATTGCAAAATTATTTATTCGAAGTCTACTACTTGAAACATTTTATTGCAGTTTAGAATTCAGCAGAATAATCGTGGCACATTTATAAGTTTGTCTATTAGTAGTCTCCTTTAATAAGATTTATATGCATGTTTTAAATAATTTTTAGTGATTTTATTATAGAGATTCCATGGTACTATAGTATGATAGTGTACAGATATAATCAACTTTACAGTCAGCATAACATTGGCTGGATTTCGATCGATTGTTACCATAGTGAAATTGATTTTGGAATAAGTCAACTTTTAACCATCATTTCAATGATTACTTTGAAAGTCATTTAGACGTAAAACTGATCCTCATAACCAAAATGAAAGTTGTTTTAAACTAGTCGCGAAGTAATAGTTATTATTTGAGTAATGCAAGTCTTATAATTAACATTGTGTAATATCTACTTGACGATATCAAGGAATAGCTTTTGTTTGGACGTCAACGTTCGTCATATGGTTTGATACCAACCATTCTATTATTTTGTAAACAGAATATTTCAATAAATTCACTATTTTTGAAGGTAATAATTGTTTACTTGTAAGTTACTTAAAGTAGGCTCTGAGGTGATTGATCAGAGTGATAGTGAAGGCTTCACAATACAACACCATCAGGGAATATTTACATTACTTTAGAAATACGTCTGTCCTGTTGCTTTTGCACTTTCTCAACAACAACTGTTTAGAATAAATTGTTTACTGGTGTTTACTATCACTTAAATTTCATTTAGTTGACATTGTGTTTGGGTTTTTTTCGAAGAAAAATCTCCATACTTTTATTACGATAACTGCTCATCACAATTCATATTCCGAGTTAATTTTATCATTTAGGAAGCTAGAAATAAACTTAGTAATAATGAAAATGGCAGCAGATTTATATAAATAGGATATACCACAATATTGTATAGTAAACATTAATTATACCTATTTTGTTTGCTCACAGATAGATTCAAAGCTACTATTACGGATGTTTTAATTGCTCATTTATTTCACGAGGCTTGAATCAGTTACATATATACATTACATAGACAAGTGACTACTATTAAAATTAACAAGACAAATAAAAATATAAAACTCTGAAAGCTATTCTCCACAGATTTAGTATATATATATACTAAAGGATTGATCAATTGGATCTATATATTATGTCGGTTTTAAGCTTTTATTTGACTCGTCAAATATTGCTATATCATCCGTTCATAAATTACTGTTGCTTGCTTGCTAGCGTGTTATTCAGATTCATATTGTAAATATCCTCGTTATATAAATATAGGGATTTATCATTTACAGTGCATTGTGGTGTCATTTTATTTACACAATCATGTGAGTATACATAATGCAAAGTACTTCTTTAAGTTTCCCCGGTATTATGATTGATAGTTTGGAAACAGGAGAACTTTGTGTAAGCAATCGGATGGGATTATCATTATTGGAGTGAACAGGAATTATAACATTTACAATAGGAGATAAACTTAATGTCAAAATTAAGTTTACACATCTTACTATTCAATGTTAGGTTCCAGGTATTTAATTATATATACCTTATCATCTACTGATATACTTATTTTATCTGAATGCAGTCAATCTTCGAATTTTGTTGTTGTTTCATTTATAGATTTTGTCAGATAGTATTTTACCAAAACAATCATCACCATTGTTGGATCAACCAATCATTCCAAAACGTTCAAATACTCCAGTAAGTGTAAAATATCGCAGGGTTAATACACATAATATTTCGTGTAAACAATGAGTCTAATTTTAATTCTAATAACCTGTTGAACAAATTATACAATATATATATATATATGAATTAGATAACGTTTTGGGTTTTCGATAACAGTGGAATCGAAGATGTGCATTCTGAAACTCGTCAGATGGATTAACCACTATCCCAAAGTCGATATTGACATTGAGACTCACCATCGCTACAAGCATCAACACGCAGTACACTAAATTACTGAGTACAACCTACGTTATACTTTCAAAAAGTGGACTTTCACATTTATTAAGACCTTGATAAATAAAGAATATGTCACTTTTAAAGTCGAAATCTTATTCAAAGAGGAAGGAAGCTTACTTTAAGTTGATAAGTAATAGTCACTATAGTAAAATCATGTAAACTAAATTTATAAAAAAAGGAATATCAGGGTAGTTATGATAAACATGATGGGGAAATCACATAAATTGATAGAAAACTATACACTTAAGAAATGGACAGTGGAAAGTCTTCTAAACTTCATCATACTAGGCAAAACTCATTGTAGCGATACGTCAATCAATAAAAATATCCATATGATTTACCCAACTAGCTTTTCTATATTGAAAATGTTGTCTCATTAGTATGGGTATTATCTTCCTTCTTCAAGTTCGCATTTATTTTGTAGATAAAAAGAGGTCGAAGTCAAACTCACAGTCGTGGTACATTAAGAGTTCTAAATCAACGTAGTTTTAAAAACAATTACATTATTCCGTCCAGTCCAAAGCCGCCTACCCCTGTTCGCTTTCATTGTAACGGAAGAAGTGGAGTTACAGCTAGAGGAGCACGTAACATCTCAGGAACCAGAAGACAACAAACAAAAAGTAAGTTCACTGATTATGTTCACTTTTTAAAATTATTCATCATGGTTACAAATTATAAGCACATCGGTACACTGGTGAGATTACATTTTAAGTAGTATTCACTAAATTTTGGTTATAACCTCTGTTCTACACACGTTTCCTTATTATTTTGCCAGTTATAAAGCACTGCTCATAGAAATAAGAATAAACAGCAAATATATGAAAATTCGATCACTACGAATGATGAGTGGAGACAACCTACTGTAATTATGAGGACAGTTTACATCACACATTAATATTTATTGCAAAATTATCGTCAAAAGTCACCCTCCGTTATATAACTGAATCCTTTGAGTAAAACGATTAATTATAAACCTTCCACCCAATTTTGAACACCACAAGCACTTACTGTATGTGAAAGTGAGCTTCACAACCATTCCACAAGCGCTAAATAAATCCAGTCTTCATATATGTGAGGAACATCTTAGAAATCACTTCAAGAATTTCGAAACCTTTTGTAAACAATGTCTTTCATATGGTGCCACAATTGTTTCATTCCATTTTATTTTAACTATAAAATGCAACGACGGAGACAAATATGTCGTCTGCAAATTAAATTACATCAACTGCGAAAAACAACAGTTGACAGTGTAGACGCATCTTGCATGAACTCAACCCGATCTCGTAACCCATACGAAAAGGCTCAACCGACTACATGGCCAGACTTCAGCCGAACAAGACAGTAAACTTGAGTACAGAGATAAATGGAGACAACAAAGCTTACAAAGACAGGCAATCGTAAATCAGGTCACCGACGAACTAATTTGGTGTTTGTGGAAGTAAGCTGACGTTGTTGACCATAACAACAAACTAGCAGGTCTCAGTACTCAAATGTGAGTTCTCACAAGGTCCCTGGGATTTAAGAGTTTTGGTTCATGTAAGTTGCTGACTGATCTATTTTGTCTTACTAATAATAAAATGAGCCATTATATACAGATCGGGTTAACAAAACTGCAGGTTTCCTCCAGCCTGAATAAACGCTACAAGTATCAAGCATAATTTACCACATATTTATAATATATACAATTCAATAAGTCCAAACTCACACCCCAACTAGTAGACCGAAATCCGGTTTGATGAATAAAAACATATTGTCAATACTGACTACTAATTATTGATTTCACTAATAAATAGTGAGTTTCATTAAATACTGGAATCTGAGTTTATTTTTTTTTTATTTAGTAAAAACGTTTTTCCACTGCTATCCTACATTGTATTAGACTCAAACAAATAGAATAGAGCACTGTTTGAAAGTATTAAAATTTCAATGTTGACCACTGAATACTTATCAATAACCATAAACAGATGAAAAAGGTGGTTACAACCCTGGTAACATGATAAAAAATGGATTAAACAAAAATGTCCAACTGCCTATTTTCGATAAGCTAATTTAAACGTTAGTGGAATCAAGTAGTAATGTCACTGTTATGTCCTTAGACACACAAAACTATTTCCACATTGTTTTATGCTTAAAAACTTAGTTAATATACTTTACTGCGCAAAACAACTATTTGTAATTCAAATGCATTGACTTACTGTCCAACCACTTTATTCTTGATTTCTGTCTACTTTTTGTAAGATTGTAGTACTCTCACTATGGTCTAATTAATGGATTTTAGTAAAATAAAATCTTCCTGTGATTTATTCGATGTCAGTGCTCCAACCACTGAGTAATGTATTGATTGCCACCTGCTTACTAGTATTTAGTCGCTTATAACAGAAATCAAGCACAAACTTTCCCCACTAGATAACCACAATATGGAACTATATTGTTTGTACAGCTTTATCTTTCTTTCTCCTTTTAATCGCAGTTGTACAAAAGTCATCTGTAGTAAATCATCCACATCCTGATACACCAAAACAACTACCTTATGAAGATGACTTACAGACAACAATTTTAAGCGACTGGTCCCTAGAAAGTAATGTGAAAAGAATACTCTATGGAGATGAAAAAGATAGATTTTGCAGTTCATCTAGGCCACAAAGTGCCAGTGGGATTTCTAATTTTGATCAGGTTAGTTTAAATAAACTATAAAGCATATCGTTACAGTCAACTAAATTTTCAGTTTCTATTTCGTAGAGTACTAACTAGGTTTTTAGTTGGAATATGTAAGCTAAAACAGATAGTATAGTACATTGGTATAGATATGAAGCTACTTTTAAGGATGAAAGTAGATCACACATACGTGCAAATTGAGCACAATTCTGTTACATTATCATTGGAACGTTAATAAATGTGGTGATATTAGAAGTGTTGTAATAATCATCACCGTGGAACGTGAAAGATAAAGTTCTGACATAATAGGCTCGTAATAACGTCCTACGAGCTAGCGTTTTGCAATAAAGTAGAAATACCAATGAATTAAGTTAGACTATTATTACATGTGAAGCCATGTTTTCTGATTAACGTCTGAACAAACTCTAAAACTCATCTTTGGAGTTATTATCAGTTTTTTTAACCAAATGATGTAACTGTTGCTAGAGTGCTCTTCACAAGTACCGAAAAAGATTTGCGTGCAGCAAAACCCTTTGACTTATCAGTCTTTCAATGACTTTGGTATTTCAGTTGGATAAAACCCCTCAAATGAATGGTTAATAGGAGTAAATGACGAGGTCAGGAGGGAAAGCATATATGAATATCTAAATGAAACGATACAATTGTTTACATTTGAGAAAATATTTTAAGTATTGATTTAAATATGAGCAATAGCTTTGTATCCCGCAATATGATCGGTAGTATCATATTTTATACGGCTGGAAAATCTTATTTTTGCAACAAATAAAAATCCTCACAGTTTAATGTGATGTTTATTATCGAATTGCGCAATTCCCTTCATATAGCACTCTTGTTTTACATAGAAATGACAAAACAAGGCGGACGTTTATTTCTATTAAAAACCAAAGCTCTAGAGTAGAAACCACTTGCACACTGTACTTGTCCATAATCCCACAAATAGATAGAGGAATCCGCTTTCAAACTATTAGCAAACTAAAACTATACTACCACAACCAAAGATAAATCCCGTATTTTGATTTTACTATTTTATTAGGAGTCACAAATTCCACAAAGTCCACATTCCATGCCAGAAACCGATCTCCTTACTGAAATAGGTGGCGTTCCAAGCACCAGCTTTGTTGATTGGGATGAGATCGATGAACTGATTGGTGATTTATAACAATATATTGGACTGAACTTTTTAAACTTACCATGTATCTTTGTAATTTTTTCTTCTGTAAAAAATAATGCTCATAACAAAAAATCTTATCATTGGTAGATTTCAAAGGCCACAAGTTTAACACAATTAATTATGAAGACAATATTTACTTTTGTAATATCTAAGAACATGAGACTTAGGTTGGCAATTTTCAGTAGCATTAAATGTAAAAGTTTTAAGTTACTATGATCATATTCTATGAATACGAAGTAGATTTTTCAGATAGGAATAAGAAAAACCAGGAAATTCTATATGTATTTAACGCCACTTCAACATGTAAGAATTTGTTTAGTCAACACACTTAAACCAATCATAGTCCGATAACAGTGAAGTCACACGGATTCCAAAACAGCCAAGCTGATAAACGCTACTCATACTGAGGCCTTTGATATTAGTTTTTGTGAGATATAGAAGCATAAATATCAAAATCGCGTTGAAAACCGATCTGATACTACAAGAATACAGTATTTATTAAGCAAGATTTAAAGACAAATGTTCCAAAATCGTACTCCAACCTCCGAAATATGAAGCATACAAGATAAACTTCTTGTTAGACCATACACTTGATTCCTTGATTTTAAGTGTGAAGAAAATGAACGACTAATGTATGAATATTATTCTCGTCACGTCTTCACTGAATTGCCGAGTATTAACCTCAATATATCAACTAAAGTTTGATAGGGTCAGTCATCATTAGGTCTCAAAATTACATGCTCGAACAAACCCACATTGCTTAAGCGAATAAACAATGAATTCAGTTGGACTCGATGAAACGATTAAAAATGCAGAAAGACCAGATGTGGAGACCATCAAACCGAATGAACTACGGAGCATATCCATACTAATGACTTCTACCAGCTACATGATGATCCTGAAAGTTTTATGAGACATTGATTGATGGTACCTCTAGACACTCTAAGACTTCCCCGTCTTCCGTTTTGTTGGAACACACTGGAAAAACGCACATTTATGGTATTAAAAAGGACATAACTTTATCGATAGAAACCACCATATTAAAGTATCTATTCTTTTCACAAGATTCACACAAAATATACAGTCCGTTCCTTGTATACTAAATTACTATATGCAAACAAGATTTGAATATAACGATTCCTTGTTCCATATGTTAGGCACGCGGATGCACTTCTCTTCCTTTCTATCGTATTTTAAGGATCTTAGCAGCCCAAGTCACGCTTATGGACCTTACGCCGGCTTAGTAATCAACCGGAGAGAAATCTTAACACATATTTTCGAAAAGGATATCAAACATTTCAGAAGTTGCTACGATCTTTGATTGTTAGTTGATCAGTAAATTAAGTTTACTTATTTTGTTATCTCAGGAACAATCACGACGCGAACAATGTTTGATTACAGTAGCAAAAACACGATTGTCTAACCTAAGTAAGCTATAAATATCTACCACCTTTGCAGATCAGTTGATGGCATTGACTGTTGTCAAACCACAAGATCAGCTCCAACTCAAAGCCTCATGTACAACATAACCTTAAACGGCTAATCTAATCATCCTTCTGGCCAAAAAGTAGCGACGAACATAATTAAGTATTTACACTATATATTTTTCCAATGTCCCTGGTAAACGCTTTTCACGGTACTTTTATTTTCATTCAATACTGACAACTTTTATTTAAATTTTAGCATGCTACTTTCCCAAAAAACTTCGAAATCAGGCTTTTCAAGATACATTTTGTGAAAAAAATTTGGAGTATTTATATTTATTCAACTATCATATTTGCATAGTACACAGCAATAGTGTCAATCAACGGCCTGAACGTCAGAAGATTTAATTAACTTCGAAATATCAGCTTCAAGTTTTTCAAGATCACTGTCCATCTCAGCAAGTAAATATCATCTAAGAAAAATAGTCACAGGAGTTGCAGAAAAATGTGTGTAAAAACAAATACCAATCCGTAAATTGGGTTCTAATCGAGTTCTGTAGATCCTCCAACTGTACAGATAATGATGAATTTCAAAGAATACTTAAATTTGAGTGTCCATAGATAACTTTGTACTTGCCTGATATAACTGTCAACGTTAGCACGCAAACAAAAGACATTTTTGGTGTTTGTCTATTCCGAAAGCTGTTTATTGAAGTGCCCTCCTTACTTCTCTAATTTCAGTTTCGCTGGGATATGTGACGGAAAACTAATTAACAACGACGATCGTTATAAAGTCGTATTTGACGAACATCTCCGAGCACAAATCGTATTGTTACTTTTGCTTAATATAGATGAACATGTTGATCTAGATAAAATAAAAGCCTATTAGAATTTAAAAACACTGAGCGATGAGTTTGGAGTAGGTGAATGGAACATGAATACGGACAGAAATATTTTTATAGATCTTAAAAATATTTGCGTATGAAATTGTATTAAAATGGTTTAGCTATTAACTAATTTCATCTCGTATTTTCAAAATTTTCAAATGTATGATAGAAATAACAACTAAATAAAGTTGCCTGAATTGACTGTTTCTAACAGATGTCAATAATTTGAAAAATGCAAAGAAAGCTTTACAAAAAGGATATTACTGGATGAAAATCTTTCTTCCATTGAGACCAAAGACTTCTCAATATCCCGAATAGAAGCTTCCAACTACACCTTCATCTTACTTTGAAGCAGAACAAACCTGATTATTTATAGTTTCCAAGTCTTTTCGGCATGCCTCGGTCGATTTTCTTGATTGGTCCGCTCCCTCTTGAACTGCCGCCATTTTTCAAAAACCGAAACTCTGTCTACAACAAACTAGAACTTGAATGATTCAAACACCTCTAGCACTTACCAAGGACAAAAACCGTTCCTATAAGTGAGCATCAGGATGCACAAAAAGGTCTTGTTTCATCCGAATCAGCTTTAATTTGAGCCTCTAAAGTTCCTAAACTTGTTAAGTTTGTAAATAATGGCATTTATTTGAAGTAATCTAATCTCATTCGACATACAATACCTTCAGTCTTCAGTAGAAAGGATTGGATTTCTGCAATTTTTGATAATGTGAAGATCGAAGTATGGTTTGTTTATATCAACAAAAATTGTTGTGTTTACATATTCTGGTATCCCGGTTTATGAACAATTTTAGATATTCTTTGGTGTTTGAATGAACCAATGATCCCTTAGTACCTGTTGAATCCTCGATTTCAAATTCCAAATACAATACATTCGTTTGTGCTTGTGTCATACTTCTTAATTCAGTTGCGTTATTTCTGGGATTCCTAGTTCATACTACAATTCAAATATTATATGTTCTTTTTAGATAATCAGTCCTAGGCGCACGTGAATGATAAGATACATTAATGCTAGGACTATGGAACGCTCTACGACAAGCCGGTTTAAATCTCTTCGTAACCTGTGTAAAATAACGGAAATAAGTGTAGGTATCACAATTTGTGTTCATATGATAGACCAGAGTGTTTTGTTGTGTTGGTTCATCGCCGTTGGGCTGGTTTAGGCTTATCTGCCACACAATTGAAACAAGGACTGACTGCTTGAATCCCCTATTTCAAATATAGCCTCACGAAAATCTAATATAATACTAGCGAAATTTCTTCGACCATGCAATGAAGTGACTTACAAATAAAACATAAGACACTGAGGCCTTTGACACCAACAGCCTTGCAGTTACTCGTAGTTCTTAGGACGTTGCTTATTACGACTCCCAGTTCTTCATAGTCTACTACTAACTGTAATAAACTCCACTTAACGGTTAGTGATATGAATCGTCGCTTTTATTTATTTTCACGGTTACACTCTCACTAGAATTAACTTCAAAAGGCCATATATTCATTCATTGAACCTGAGAACCTATTTCGGTCCGTATATTTATCGTATCTGATATATGGTGTATGGGTCTGCAAATCTTGATGTCATTTGCAAAGAGTAGAATGAATGACTTTGCTGCAGTTGTTACAGATTCACACCTTGATACAGTCTCATATACATGTACATGGGGCTTTATTTACCGCTGATTATGTCACTTTCAGTTTGTGATTTATAAAGACATATAGATCAAGTAATTTCAGTAACAACAATAGTGAAAGCCACATTTTTTGCGATTGACACTTCATGTGTGATCACCCGTGTTAATGAGTGACTGACAATACATTTGAGATATAGCTGGTATATACCACAATTACAAGCATCATTATTAATTTAGGATTTTGGTTTATCGTTAGGATACTACTTAATCACATTATTGAACATAAAAGATGAGTGAAAATACCTGGCAAAATATTTGTGCACGGGTAACAATGAATAAATAATGAATTTAGTACAATAGCACTGTAAGATCCAAACTACGGTTTGGAGTGAAGGACAGCTGTCTGGATGAGTTAGACACGCGCCCTCACCCGATTGAAACCAAAACAAAGTAATTGGGTAAGATGACGGTTCTATAATTTATCATAAATTCAATTGTACATTATTACCTAAACAAATATAACCACTCAGCTATCCAACCAATAATTGTTCAATTGATCAAATCTGAATTACAATAAATAAGAAAGTTGATAAAGGATGCAAGAAAATTACCAATCACCACAAATAAATGTTATTCTATCCTGTCTGGATAGATCACGTACAGATTCGTTCAAAAGGTAATAATTGGTCGCTCTATAACACAGAGTGTTTTCAATTCTGGAAGAGTGCTTCAATTCACAACCAAAATGCACAATTCCAGTCAACACAGTTCAAGCAATCAAAAGCAGCGACAAACCAAAATGGCTGCCGCCCAGACTTAGTATAAAGTAAAACAACATAAGTACAGTTCGGGAAGAAACAGCGGGGATTAGTGAAGGTGTAGTAAAAACGAAAACTATAATAAATACAAATATTAACAATTCAAATATAGTCAAAAAGTTAACAATGTACAACTAAGAGGATCAATAGGACAAAGTACAAGTATATACATGGAGGGGTTTTCACAAACACACAAGGCATTCAAAATGGATATTACACCGGCCCCCAAAATCCCTCCATATCACACAAGCTACCTTGATGCCTATGGTCATGGTTCATTATGTAGCATATGACACTATAGGAACGAGTAGGACTTACAGCAGTACGCCTGTAGAATTATGGTCTACTATGATATTAGTACTGCTCTAATAATAGACCTAATCCTGAAATTGTAGATTTGTCATGATATAACTGCCTAATCTATAAGATCTTACGTGGAAGTCACACCATCGGCTACATCAACTCACTGTATCGTATCAATTACCAGTACATTATGTAGAACAAGGTTAGGCTAGAGAAGGAACAATATATTTAATATGAATAGAAGATATAAGGTAACATTCAGCAGAGACCACGCCTGCATGGCCGAGCCATGCCACTCGATCAACTCCAGTCCATTCAATTCCTTCTCCGCGCCTTCTCCATTGTTAGGTATTTCCCCGAGTTAAATATTGAATATCTATTTTCTGAGTAGTCTCGTGTTCACAGCTTTGTGGATTGTGTGGCTATTGTCCAATGCCACTACACTACTCTCCCACCAGAATCAACGTGATGTTGGTTCGATACCAAATTGGATGGGATCGTCGCGCGCCGGAGGTTACCAAGGATAATAAAGATCCTCCGGGTATTGATAAGCTGAAAGATAAATCAAAAAGAAGGCGGCAGCATCTGGTCGGGAAATACATGTAATAATCTTAAAATATCTGCTTTCATGATTAACACGCTTAAAATGAAAATTTGGTTGAAGATTATTTGAACTATAAAAAATGGGATTACAATAATAATAATCATAAAACGATGCGTGTTAATAACTTAACTTATAGGCAGTAATTATTTTGTGTTTAGAAATATTAAAATAATGAATATTGTAGAAATGTTAATATTGGTATTAGTTTTGGTTTAAATTATGAAATCAGATAACGATTATGCCGGTAAGTTGTCCATATGAATTGATTTCCAATTGCATCTGTATTAGTAGGCTAACTGAAGGAACAAAAGTATATCGTGGAGAAGAATTCCAACTAGTGTTCCTGTTAGTTTGATACGGTTTATTTAGTTACGGGAAGATTTCCTCAACCTCATTTTTACTTGACCGTGATAGAATTTAGTAATACTACTAATACACATGAATGGTTATCAAAATAAAATTTAAATACATGAGTGATAATTATATGAATTTTGGACAGATAGCTAGGAACAAATCGTTAAACATGAGTGTATTCGTAAGAGACATGCTCTGGACTCAATGTTTTGATCTGCGGCAGACTATTTATTTATATTTATACTTGCTGGCTGATTGGGCATACAAGTTAGTTGCAAGTATGCAGTTTATCATAAGGCGAAATACGATCTAATTGAGATATAGTGATTATAAGTTATTAAAATCAGTTAGGCCTGTGTCATATTACGAAGTGATGTGGTGCTGCAAGATGTATTTAGCTAAATAAGTTTTCACAAGATGATTAATAGTGAGTGATGCTCATGTGATTATCAGGGAGAACATAAGTTGTAACCAGGGGGAGTACACTCCCAACTCATGTCTATGATAATGGCTTGAACCTTAGTCAGTGTTGGGGTAAATTCGACATTGACGTTTTCAGTTTGCAGGAGATTTGCTCGACTGCTTATACTGATTATTTGCATGCATGATTGTGTCGCTAAACCATCAATTAGACTGACAAGGTTTTGAGATATTTACTGAATGAGCAACTGATAGAGAAACATACTGTAATCATCTGTGATGGATGAAGATACCAAGAAAACAACACCATTTAATGGTAATTA